AAAACAAGAACCTTATCATTTTCACAAGCCCTTTTTGCAGTGCACCACAGTACAACCTAGCATTTCTTTAAATTTACAAACATATATTTAAACACCATACTGCATTCTTCTGAGAGAGGGTTTTATTTTCATTCATACAAGAAGAAATTCCCTGATATGTACAGAAATCTATATATAAAGCACATTCATAATGATATATATGGGTGCTCAAAAAAAATGGACAAGGATGTCTACAAATGCTGGAAAATACTAGTTAAGGTGCAATACAATCTTGGACATTTGATTTCAGCATACTGATACGTGTATGTATAATACAATATAAAATCCTATGCAGTTAGTGCATATGTTCAGTTGATAAGAAATGTGCTTCTGAACAGTTTGGATACAAGACAAAAAAAAAAAAAGCATTTGTGACAGGTGATTCAGCTTTTAAAATCTGAGGAAACTAATTCTCCTGTAACACTTGAAAGATTAGAAATAGAGGATAAAGAAACCTTTCAGAATATCTTTCTTTCTGTAAATTAATGTAAGTAACAGCTAATATCTGAAAATTCTTGCTGTGTAGTTTGACTGTTATTTAGAACAGTGACTATAAAGCACCTTACCCTGGCTGCCTCCTTTACTAAGGAATAGAAGTTCCAGTTAGAGGTAGAACTCTGTACCCGATGATAGGTGTGGAGGCAGAACATCACACTTTTGCAATGAAACCATTTGTTAGAATCAAAGTGAAAATCAGAAAAAAAGAATGCAAAAATTGAATTTATGGTGCCACGTCCCTGGTCACTCTGTGTCTGCTCAAAAGAATGAGGTTCAGTGCAGCAGATCAGCTGCCTGCACTGGACTTCCCCAAACGATGGAGAGCCTACACAGAGCTTTCTTGTCTCCTTGGTGGCAAAAAAGAAGTACTAATTTCTCATACTTTTACACCATGTTGAACTTGCTATGGTGGAAAAGCCTAATGTGTGGAAACATCTTCACTGGCAGATGTGAGCCTTTCTCAGCTTGGGTAATGACATTCAGGTTTGTGCTAAAATCATGGCAGCAGGAGAAACTCCCGTAGGCATTTGAATAGCTGCATAATCCTGCTTCTGGTATTCTACATGTTGAGTAAAATGAAAGCAGAAGTGGTAAAATAAAAAGAGAACACATTACTTACTTTTCAAAACATACAAGCTTACAAAAACTGTGAAAAATTGAACCAAACTTTTGACCAGCTTGATGGTTTTCATTAGAATCTTGTGGGTTTTTAAGTTCCTGTATAAAAAGTAATAGCTTTTCTTCTCAAAAATCCCACATCTGTGATCTATTTCTGAACAACAATGCTTAGAAAAAATTGTAATGAACATCTGGTTTTAATATAGTAGTCAGCAAGCCAACATAAGGAGTCACTTTTCTTCTTCCACAGCTGAACACCGTGGAAGACTATACCATAACTACTTATCTCTGCACTGTAACTCCAAATACTATGAAAAAAAAAAGTCATATTTTGAAGTAATAAGATTGTTGCATTTTTGTAACAAATTCTTCTTCAGTTTCTTCATCATTACTGGACAGATAAACTGTAATTGCACACAGGGTATGACAGAGAGCAGTTTTGGTTACTAATCCATTCTTACCTGTCAGTCTTGTGATTTCGCTGTTCAGTTTTGAATAGGCTGCATCTTTGTAAAAACAGATAGGCATAAAACTGCATCCCACTTGCAAAAGTAACATCATACAGTGGTAAACCAAATGCAAATTATTTAGCCTAATTTAGGTTTACTGTGGTTTATCTAAGAGTTACTAAAAGATTTCCAAACTTTTTATATAATTCAATTTTTGTTACATGGCAAATATTTTTTGATTCTGATTCTTTTTTTTTCCTGTTGTCATCAAAATTTTATCCTTTAGCTAAAACTGTTTCAGTTTACTTACTTTTCATAGAGTTTTCAAATGTTAAAGAATTTTATTCTCAACTGTGTGAAACTTTTCATATATATTATCCATTCCTTAACTCTAATTTTTCTTCAGTTCATGACTAAAAGATTTTTCTTTGCTGAAGAACATATTTTCCTGAAACTCATATTTATTGCAGATAAAAAATGCAAAATGTAAATTTGATAGTAGTTTTCACCATCGTTTCAATAACACGATGTTGTAGGTTAGACAGAAGGAATATACTTTTTTATCTAATGCTGGCTGGATTTTTAAACAGGAAGTTGCCCTTCAGAGGGAAGTGAAAACCATTTACTGGAGAAAATATTCTTTTTCAGGATCATTTCAATTACCATCCAGCTAGTATTTTGGGAAACAGATTTCAATATTTTTTTTAAATAGTCTCTATTTGCCATTATTCAGTAGTTCTTTTCTGATTTATTCATGTATTCATAGTATTCCTTTTGTTCTGGGCATTGGAAACAAGGATGTCCTGAGAGTACGCTGAGCATTTGCCAGTGGTGTATTCAAAGCTTCAAAGAAACTGATGAAGTACTTTTGTCGGTAGTGGTATTAACAAGCCATGAAATTTGATGTACAACATTTGATAAATTCACCTTCCTGCAGAAGTGTCTTCAGTTAAATTCATCTAGACTGAAGTTTTTATGGTCTTTTAGGTTATTGCACTACATATTTTCACCTTTGGCTACTGAGGTATCCATCATAACATTATGGTTTGCATGTTTCACTGTTTCCTAACTCACAAGATCAAGACTTTAAAACATTATTGCTGTTTTAAAATTCAAGTATTATTTGTATTATTATTGTATTACATGAGATTTATTCTGAACTTTTTTAAAAAAATAACAATAGTGGATCAGTAGCCACAGCTCCTTTGTGCCTAAAGAAACTTGGACATAACAGATCAAGGATTTTAATATTATCTAAATTGCTGACCTATATGGTTTTAACTTCAAAAAAACTAAAACATACTGCAGTAATGAACTTTCACAAAGGAATGGTCATTCTTCATTAAATTGTTCTGGGCTTAATCTGAGGTAATTGTCACCAGGCACAACTATCCTGGGCAAAACAAAGCAAAATAAAAAGCCCAAACAGTTAAACAAACAAACAATCAAACAGACCAAATCCCTAACCAAACCAACCAATCAATCAATCAAACAAAAGCTCCCACAGGGTAGGATCCTGGAGCAAGCACGTCACCCTAGAAGCAATTTTAGGGCAGTTTCCATGTCAATGCCATAACCTTTGTCCCTCACTCAGACTGAGTACCTGGTGCTGCATATCGTTTGCTGTTCTGGTATTACAGTGGAGAGTTTTTCACTACTGTCCATTACACGTGAAAGAACTGTGGATAGCAAGAACAGACATGTTACGTTGTATCAAGGCAAAAGGTGCCTTAGGTCTGAACTGTAAGCTGTTCAAGAGAGTTTGAGAACTTGTACACAAAATGAACTTTTTCAGAAGTGAGAGACATCTGTCTCCTCATGAGGAATGAGATTTTCAAACCAAACAGGGGTTAATAAAATATAAGTTATGTACATCTAAACTTGCTGAGCTCTCCTGACAGTTACAGTCCTAGTGGTTCTATTGATATAAATGGTCTCTTCTGTAGATAATCTGGTGATTAAAAGAAATAATGACAGAAACATATTGAAAATCTGTGAAACTCTTGCGGAAAATGAGGGTAGGCAGTAATATATTCAAATCAACAAAAAAAAATATTTCACATTCCCTGGTGTTATGAGAAGTACAAAAGGAAACAATAGCTATTAGCTTGGCAAGTCAAAAAAGACCAACTGCATAGCATTTACTTAGAGGTGTTGTAGGAGATATGGTGTGCAGCAAAACTGTTTGTGGTATTACAGTAGTAAGTGAATTAAAAAGTGATTTCAGGCAAAAGGGAACTTGAACGTATTTTGGGAACAGTAGCATAAACAACAGAAACAGAAACAACAGTGAAGAATTTACAAGATTTGCACACATAACAGGAGAACTAAACCTGATTGAAATAAAATGCCAGGGCACTTTACTGAGAATGATGTTTCTGCTTTAGGGAGCTCATTGTTACCAGTTTGTAAATTAATAACATCTGAGAGTCATAAATGCTTCACAACTGGTGACTGCAAAGCTGGAAAATGGAAAGACAACAGCTCAGCAGCCCCTTGAGAGACAGCCAGCACGACTTCACCAAGGGCAAATGGTGCCTGAGTAATCCAGTGGCCTTCTGAGATAGAGTGACTGCATCAGTGGACAAGGGAAGATGTACAGATGTCGTCTACCTGGACTTCTGTCTAGCCTTTGATATGGTGCCCCACAGCATTTGTACCTCTACCTTATGGCAGGCAGACCCCATGGCTTATTGTCCATTAAATACTACCCCAGGGCAACCTGGAGAAGTCATCTCTAGGGATCCAGTGAGATGCATGGGGACATGGTGGGGTCAGTGGGAGCAGGTACAGGACCCTGTTAGAGCCCCAGGGAGGGAGGATGGTGCTTGGGGTTGCAGGGGTCAATGCTGCTTTACGTGTGTAGCCATGTCTGAGAATCCTGCACAGACCCATCTGTCTTGGCTCCTCCACCAAAGGGCTGCTTGCCCTGGGGAAAGGGAACAGGGGAGTCACCCCCCGTGATTGCCTGCACTGCTGGCAGTTCCTCAGCCCTGGGGATGGCTTGGTGCCCTTTGGGTCTTCGTGAACCTGATCTGGGGCTCAGCGGTGCTTTTGCACCTCTTTGGTGTCATTTCCTGGTGCCCCTTGCACTCCTTCCCCATCCCATGCAGGCACGAAGAGGTTCTGGATAAGTGGCTTTTAATGGAAAAACTGAGAATAGAACAGTCAATAAAACTAACTACATCACCAACACTGCCCCTCACTCCCCAAAATCATCTCATGCCTGCAACATGCCTAATTCCATCCTCCTGCCCCAGCACTGGCTGTGGGAGCCTTGTGCTTGCTGCTTTTTTTTGGCAATGAACCATTCTGTCACTTCTTCTCTTGCTTATCCAGCCTGATGTCGTGCCTGGACATGCTGCCCTGGGGTGACAGTGGGTGTGTTGCTGCACCCTACCATGGATCCTTAGGCTGCATCCTGGTGGTACTGAAGAATTCCATGCTCAGGGTGGCTTTGGAGGTCTTAGGGATGTTGTAGTCAGCGGAGAGCATCTTCTCAGGCAGCTGGAGAGAACTGATCCTGTGGTGGGGGATGGTAGGTTCCCTTGACATGGGGACACTGCTGGGACTATCCTGGCTGATGGCCACTGCCCCCAGGGAACAATCCAAGCACCTCATAGCCGCTTCCAGCAACACCTTCTCAGGCAGCAAAATGTTGCTGGCTGGAATCACCATGGGGTCCCTGATGGCTTGGACATGGCGGGCAGCAGAGGGGCTGGGGTGGACGTCACTTTGTAGGGGGGTGTTACCACCCAGGAGGGTGCACTCCTCCATGGGGACATCATTGCCCAGGGAGATGTCACCACCTGGGAAGGTGTCCTCCTCCATGGGCGCATCACTGCCTGGGGGGCTGCCAATGCCCAGGGCTATCCCCAAGGGCTTGGTTGTGCTGGACAGGCTGTGCTGTGTGTATAGCCCCTCTATGTGGTTATAGCTGGGAAGGGACCGTAGCAGCCTTGAGGACCGGCGGCTACTGCTCTTCCCTGATGGTTGTAGGACACCAACAGCTGTGGTTGGCTCTGGGGGAGCCCACAGCCCTGGGATCCCCACAGGACAGTGTTTGGCAGAGAAGTAGGCGGGCGCGCAGCCCTGGGATCCCCAAAGGAAAGTGTTTGGCAGAGAAGTAGTGCTGTGGCCGATTGTGAAGGTGGCTGATGGAGGCCGGTCAGTGCTCCGCTACTCAAAGCGGAAGACATGGATTTTGAAGCAGCCAGTGCATGGAGCCATTTGCAGGCCTGCATGGCTGAGAGGGGAATGTGCTAGGCTGGGGTCTTAGGGGAGTCTCCTGAGGGACTCACCATGCTGGCCCCAAGCACAGACATCCCCCTGCTCTGCTGGTGGGATGGGGTTTGAAACCCAGGGAGGTCAAATGGGAGAGATGGTCCTAAGATGCTATTAAATTACCTGTAAATTGTATTTACTGGGCAGGCCTTTCCCAGGTGACAGCAAATATGCTCACAGTGCCTTGCTGAGCCCATGTACCAAAACTGCCCGGGAGTCAGGGGTGCTGGGGATTCTGGAGGTGCTGGAGGAGGGGTGGGTGGAGAACACAGGGGATCCACGGGTACTAGAGATGCTGGGGTTGCTGGGTGGACAGGACTGCCAAAGTGCCAGGACACATGTGGATGCCATACCTACTGGGGGTGCCCAGGGTGCAGGGAACGGCTGGCGGCCCCAGGGTGCGGGGAACGGCTGCCGCTTCTGCCCAGGCGGTCAGCAGAAGTTGGTTATCCTGAAAGAGAGACATGAACAAACTCTGGTGGTCACATCTCAAGCTTGGGCACGAGGACATGCGAGGGGACTGAGAAGGAAGAGGGAGCGGTGCAATGGAGGACGGGCTGCAAATTTCTCCAAAGTGAATCCCTGGGCTGCCAAGGTCAGAGCTAGTCTTTATCTCTGATGTAGAAGGCTTTGGGGAAGATAAATGGATGAAGTAGCTGGGGCATCGGGAGAGCCCAGGGGCCACACTATGAGTGCCATGCGGTTGGTAGTGCAATGGTCATCTATGGTTGGTGGATGGTCAGTTATGTTCAGTGGATGCAGGTCTGGCCATTTCTGTTTGAGTGCCTCCTAGGAAGGACTGTGGTGGCTCCCAGTGTTCTGTCCTGTCCCCAAAAGCTTTGCCAGCTCTTCATGAGGAGAGAAAGGGTTAAACAAAAGAGTTAAGAGTTACAGTCAATGGCTCAATGTCCCAGTGGAAACTAGTAACAGGTAGTGTCCCTCAAGGGTTCATACTGGGAACAATACTGTTTAATATTTTCACTGATGACATAAATAGGGGGCTTCAATGCACTCTCAGCAGGTTTGCAGATGACACTAAGCTGAGTGGATGAAAAGCTGGACATGATTCAGCTGCATGTACTTGCAACCTGGAAGACCAGCTGTATCCTGGGCTGCATCACAAGCAGTGTGGCCAGCAGGTCGAGGGAGGGGATTCCGCACCTCTACTCTGCTCTGGTGAGACATCACCTGGAGTGCTGCATCCAGCTCTGGGGTCACACAGAAAGACATGGACCTGTTGGAGTGGGTCCAGATGAGGCCCACAAAGACTGTCAGAGGGATGGAACATCTCATGCATGAGGAAAGGCTGAGAGAGTTGGCGCTGTTCAGTCTGGAGAACAGAAGGCTCCGGGGAGACCTTATTGTGGCTTTTCAGTGTATGAAAGGGACTTATAAGAAAGACAGAGAGAAGCTTTTTACCTGGGTCTGTAATGATAGGACAAGGTATGATAGTTTTAAACTGAAAGACAGTCGATTCAGACTAGATAAGAGAAAAAAATTTTTCATGATGAGGGTGTTGAGACACTGGAACAGGTTGCCGAGAGAAGTTGTGGACGCCCCATCATTGGAAGTATTCAAAAACAGGTTTCATGGGGCTTTGAGCAACCTGATGCAGCAGAAGATGTCCCTGCCCATGTCAGGGGGATTGAGCTAGATGATCTTTGAAGAACCCTTCCAACACAAACCACTCTATGATTCTATGAAATGTTGGAATATGAACCAAAAATTGTAGGAAAAAGGGGAAAAAAAGAAGAGATTCTCTTAATTTGAGAGGAAAGAATGTAAAGGAGGATCATGTAAGTATCACATTCTGTCTGGAGGTAATTGGAACATGCAAGAACTAATGTAGGGTCAAAAGGAGGACAATGTGTGGCCTTTGGTGGCTGTAATCAGTGACTGTAACTGTCAGCAGTACAAATGCACTGATGAATGCAAGAGCGACTCTGGTAACTTGGACGGGACAGTGTAAGCCATCCAGACGACAAACGCTATGTTTGGCCTTCTAAGATATAAATGACAGAAGAAATTTGCAACTAAGATAGATGAATTAAAAGAAGAGAACACTGGATTATCACTTCAGTTTTCTGAACGCAGTTTCCCAGTGCCTGTGGTTTGCTGGGACATGGCTGCCCGTGAGGAGACTGCAAAGTTACTGCACCTCAGTTTTCTAGGTTGGTTATCCCTTTTCTGCATAGCAGGTTTTGCAGGGTTGTGTGAGATGGCTGTAAAACCTGTAGGAAGCTAAAACAGTAGTAACCACTGAGTCTGGAGTAGGAATGTAAGAAATTTGCCACTTAAGCCAGCACAGTATGTCGCCATATGGGATATTGTCAGTGCTAGAAAATTTTCAGAGGGCCACAAAACTTGTTGAAAGGTATCCTCATGCTTTAGGGAGGAATGACAATGTTCTCAGCACAAGCAGAAGTTATACTGAGTATCTGTCAAAACTAAGGAAGGTGTTTAAAAAAATGGAAGCAAAACAGCCTCAGGGAAAACAATTTTTTTTTTTTTTTTTTAATAACACAAGGGATTGTGTAGCTGGACTACAGAAAAAGCAAGGAGTATCTTCACCTTATGGCAAAACATGTCAGTTCTCTGCGTTCAGGACTCCAAGTTACGAGAATTTTCTCTGTGTCAAACTGTAACACATTCCTCCCAAATTTGTTGGTATCTTCAGAGCTTTAACATCACCAACAGAGGACTTGGAGCCTTTGCTGTATTAAAGACATGAGGGAGGGACTTCTATATGTCTGAAGAGCTACTCCAACGCTGCGACTCTTTGTTTTGACTGTTCTGTCTATCATGGTCCTTCATTTGGTGTAAAGGAACTTTCATCTCAGAATACTCGTTTCCTAAGGAAAGATACACACATTTTGTTCTCAAGTAACAGTAATAACATTCCATTAAATATATTCTTTCCCAACTAGAGTTTGGAAATTGTAGCAGGATAGAGTTTTCTGCTGCTGTAAACTGGTTTTCCACATAAGGGGTTAAATATCACTGTAAACATAATATCTGACCCACTACAAAACAGGTCCAAGCTCTACCTTGATGTGCAAATCACCTGTTTCTCTGTTGTGCTGATAGAGGAGGCTGGCTTCATGTGTACCATCATGTGTATCAAAGCAGTGAGAGGACTGGGAAATGGAAGATCCTTCCTTAAGCTGAAGAATACCTTAAAGTCTGGTTGCTCGCTGCCAGAAAGTGGTTTAACTAGGATGTTTTTCTTCTGATATTTCTCTGGGTATGGTTTGGGGCTGGAAGTGACAGGAACACGGCTGCTACAAAACCCGAGTTCTTGCTCAGGTGGGGGAGATGTTGTATTAGGCAGAAAGGTTGAAGGATAAAATATTGTTTTCCTGGACTGTTTTGTGCTTCAGGAACTGAAATCTTGCTTGTTTCCATGGGGAAAGAAGGTCACGAAGAACAGCATAAATGGAAAATCGGCAAGAGAAAATACAACTTTTAGAGACTCATAGGCAGAAAACCTTTGCAGGGCCTAAAGCACATGCCTGTAAAGTACTTTTTGCTCTGCAAATGAAATGTGCTGCACACGTTCACCACACCATTATTTTACCTTAACGCTCCAAGATGTACTTGATGTTAACTCTGTGCTTTGTGTAGCATTCTTGATGAAGACGTTGGACTTTACTGGGGATTTTCATCTCCTCTGAAAGCCTTAGCCTAAATGCTGAATGACTAGCTATGTTACAGAGAGGCTGACAAAGTAGTCATATTCTCTCTATATCAAATAATGTCACAGCTGCTGTACCTGCCCTCAGTTTCTACACACTATAGAATTTCTGGGATTCAAAAGCCTCACTGTATGATAATAAGGTACTGTTTAAGTACCTGCATTTTTGTAGTGGATTATGAATTTATTATTTGAGTTTGACAGATTATTGGACTCTGGCAGGGGATAAGTTCTGAGGTATAAATTAAAAGTTTCTCTGCTAACATGCTAAGTGACATCCTTCAAAACCAGAAGTCAGGTGTTCAGTTCAGGTTGGCTGACCTTGTGGGATGACACAAAGATTTCTGAGTTTATTTCTTGTGCCAGAAATTGCATGCTGCCTTTGTGGATGGTGGTTTTTAACAGAACAAGTGAAGAGAACTTAATGAGGTGCCATATGTCAGGTCTGGAGTCAAATTAAAACACAAATAATTAAACTATATACCTTCCCTATCAAAACAGATTGTGATATGTTTGTGGAAGGAAGCTGGATATGACTTCTCATGTTTTGACAGTCTTTTGGGACAATCAGTCATACTTCAGTAGTGTCACATTTAAAAGTTGCAGTTCCATTCATACGAAATACAATTTTCAACATGTAACTAATTCGTGTTTCCATAACTATTCTCTACTGGCAATAAAATCAGAGCCACACATTTCTGAATGCCTGACAGAGTTTGAAATCCTTTCAGTTATATATTGGTTTGAGGTATGAAATAAGGTAACTCTGCTTTTGCAGGTAACTTACAATTCACAGAATCCAGGTGAGAGTGTTCTACAAGGTATTTCTTGCCAAAAGAATATCACTTCCTTG